ACGGTGAATAGTATTTTTGCGTTTTTGGACTTTTTTCGATTCGGTCCATGGATCCATGTGATTTTGGTCTTTGTTTGTTGTATATTTGCTATTATAAATATGTATCTCTTATATGTTTGAGGTGTGACAATCTTAGAGTTTTCACCAATAAGAGAGACCAAAGGTTTAAAGGTATAACATAAGGTTTCAGCTATGCACAAAGAAAACCTTGGATTACACTTTGGGTTTGAGTGATTCATATATTGAGAGTTAGAGAGGTAGGGAAACACTTGGGTAGAAAATATGGTTGTTCTTGGGCGCCTTCAGGGTTGTTTTTGGTAACCTGAAGGCGAAGGATATTTTCTTGTAACTCATATGTAATCTCTTGTAACAACTTTCTGAGTACAGTGAATTAGAGAGTTGTTTTCTCCCCCAGAGTAGATCATTTGATCGAACTGGGTAAACAAACCTTTGGTTTTTTCTTGCCTTATTCTGTTATATTATCTGTGTACGGATTATTATTGTTGTAGATCATTTATTTTGGTTGCTATTGTTCTTTGCCTCACAAATTGATTGAATTTTATTGTAATTCACAATAAAATTCACAACAAGTGGTGCGGTGAGTGTGGAGCAAAGAGATATTGTTGGCAAGTGATCACCATGGTTAGTAGATGACAGATCGAGAAATTTTCCGGTAACAACGACTTCGGGCTATGGAAAATTAAGATGCAAGCAATTTTAATTCAAAAGAAGTGTATCGATGCTTTGAAGAGTGAAACATTGATGCCTGCAGGGCTTACACAGGTACAGAAGACCAAGATGGTGGATAAGGTTAGGAGTGCCATTATCTTGTGCCTATGGAATAAAGTTCTAAGAGAAGTATCCAGGGAGCAAACTGCGGTTGCTATGCGGAAAAAACTTGAATCATTCTATATGACAAAGTCTTTGGCTCACAGGTTGTATCTGAAACAACAAATCTATTCATTCTGAATGGTGGAGAACAAATCCATAGTTGAGCAGCTCATAGAATTTCACAAGACTATCAATGATATTGAGAATATTAAAGTGAAGATTGATGATGAGGACAAGGCTTTGCTCCTGTTGAGTTTATTACCTAGATCCTTTGAGCACTTTAAGGATGCTTTTCTTTATGGTAAGGAAGGTATTATTACTTTGGATGAAGTCCAGACGACGGTGAAATCCAAAGAATTTTCAAAGTCGAAAGATTTGAATATTGAAGATAGTGGTGAAGACTTAAATGTGTCAAGAGGAGGAGGTGAGCGTAGAGAGATGTCCAAATCAAAGAGGTCTGACAAGTCAAAGATAAAATGTTTTAATTGTCAGAAAATTGGTCACTTTAAAAGGGATTGTCCTGAAAAAAAGGTCAATGAATATTTTGTTTAAGCTGTAGTTGCATTGGATGAGGAAAGTTATGAGGATGTCGAAGCACTAGTAGTATCGAGTTTGGAAACTGAAGATAGTTGGGTCATTGACTCAGGTTGCTCTTATCACATGTGTCCAAGAATAGAATACTTTGAAACTTTGAAGATGGTGCAAGGTGAAGTAGTTCGCCTTAGTAATAATAAGGCATACAAGGTTCATGGTATTGGTATGGTCAGATTTAAAATGTTTAATGATCATGAACTTCTTATTCACAATGTGAGGTATCTTTCAAAACTCAAGCGAAATTTGTTATCTATAAGTATGTTTAATGATCTATGATATTGTACTAAAGTTGAACATGAAGTGTTGAAGATTTCACGTGATTAATTGATTATTGCTAAAGGGTCTAAACTATATGGTCTATATATTTTAGAAGGATCAAATGTTATTATTCATTCATCGTTAACTAGTGGAGGCTTTCATGACAAGGAAGAACTATGTGATTTGAGTTTAAGGCGTTATGAATGCCTTGAGAAAGTTTCAGAGGAGTACAATGAATTTTGCAAAAATCAAGGAATAAAAATGCATGTTACTGTTGAGTTGTTATTAAGTTTTTGGGGAATATTTGAGGTTAAAACATCTTACTCGGTCGGCAGAGAATTTCTTCAGAAGAAGAATAATGATCAAGGGAGAAACTATAACGGAGAAAGCTTAGTTTGAGGCGGAGTTTCCTATGGATGCTAGCAGTAGTGAGGGAACGGTTACAGAGATCTCTGATTATCATTTGACTCATGATAAGGTAAGAAGGGTTATTGTAGCATCTCAAAGGGACGTTTATGCTAGCCTTGGATATTATGTTTTTAATGTGGCTGAAGGCTCTGCAAAATAAAAGAAGAAAAACCTTCAGGGGGCATTTGAAAACAGGTGGAGTCAAGGGTGGTTGAAAAATCATACTTGTAGACTTGTTAAATTACCTAGGAAAAAAAGGGTAATTAGGAACAAGTGGATGCAAGTTGCGAGATCAAGATTTAAGGGCTGCTTGAATTTGATCAAAGTTATTGATTAAAGTTTCAACTTGGTAGAGAGCAACAATGTTGTTGATTGTTAAATTGGTATCAACACAGTTTAAAGTCAAGGTGGAAATTATTGTAAATGTGTCTTAAAATCTTTTTTGATGAAGAAAAAGAAAACATATTTTGGAGATTGTATTTACTGCGAAAATCGTGCGAAAAATCGGAAAAAAATCATACGGTGAATAGTATTTTCGTGTTTTCGGACTTTTTTCGATTCGGTCTATGGATCCATGTGATTTTGAGTTTTGTTTGTTTGGTATTTGCTATTATAAATATGTATCTCTTATATGTTTGGTGTGTGACAATCTTAGAGTTTTCACCATCAAGGGAGACCAATGGTTTAAAGGTATAACATAGAGTTTCAGCTATGCACAAAGAAAACCTTGGATTACACCTTGAGTTTGAGTGATTCATATATTCAGAATTGGAGAGGTAGGGAAACACTTGGGTAGAAAATAGGGTTGTTCTTGGGGCGCCTTCAAGGTTGTTCTTGGGCGCCTTAAGGGTTGTTCTTGGGAACTTGAAGGCGAATGTTATTTTCTTGTAACTCATCTGTAATCTCTTGTAACAACTTTTTGAGTATAGTGAATTGGAGAGCTACTCTCTCCTCCAGAGTAGATTGTTTGGTCGAACCGAGTAAATAAACCTTCCGATTTTTTTGTCTTATTCTATTATATTATTTGTGTATAGATTATATTTGTTGTAGACCAATTATTTTGGTTGCTATTGTTCTTTGCCTCGCAAATTGATATTGAATTTTATCGTAATTTAAAACAAGATTCACAACAGTTACGCTATTTCGTCTTTTTTTTTAACATAAATAATTTTTAATCAAAGCATTTTTATAAACAGTTTTTAAATTTTGAATGTTACAATTCACTTATCTCTTGTATTTAGAATTAATTGGTAACATTATATAATAGTTTAATTGAAATGGGGAAGTACTCTTTGACGGTCTTCTTTGATAGATGTTGAACATGATCTTAGTTGTAATCTTTGCAGTCCCAAAGTAAATGCTAATATTCTTATTAGATTAGGAGAGTTGGAATTTACTAGGAGTATGCTATGAATAAGATCTCGAGTGTATTAAAAAAAATGATATTTTAATATTTTACGATATTTTGGACTTCGAACAAAAAATATTTTTTAGTTTACGGTGAAAGATTAAAATTCATGTTTCTGTCTCATCATTTATTACTATTCTTTATTACTGTGTTATCTAATCTCATGATTAGTTTGTAAAACAAATAGGATAGGATACAAAATACTACTTCTATTCCTTTTTATAAGAGGCAAATCACTTTTTAGTTTTATTGAATAATCAATATATCTAGTCTATAAACTGACTAAATACATTAATTATTCGATAAGTCTAAAAAGTAAGTTGTCTCTTATGTATATAAACGGAAGTAGTATCATATTCAATCTTAATTTATTTAGCAAATCAAACAAATGTGTTTAGTATTTATAGTTAATCATGAATGGATAAGATTTATAATGAATTTTCTATTTATAGAAATGATGATAGTTGTTCTAATTCCAATCATAGTGTTTTGGGTCGGCCATATCTATCTTGATCTGTTCACACCTCCATGGATTTTATCATCATAAAACAAAAAACATTTTAGATTTTAATAAGATATCTTTTAAGTTTCTTGAATATTCTACTGACAATTGGACTTTCATAAATTAAGAAACGGAAGATTTGTATCTCCAACACATCCAACATTGCTATGTCGAAAAAATAGCAAGACAATTATCTATCTTTCTTATATATATATATATAGGATGACACAATTTTAAGTCACAAATTTCAAACCTAATTTGAATAATCTCTAATCATTTACATACTCACTTGAATGTTAATCTTATAAATATATCTTTGTTTTGTCACATCAGAAACTCTCCATCGCAACTTCCACAACTATACACATTTATAATTATGAATCAAAACAAGTAATATATAGTGTAGCCTTCATACCTATGTAGTACTTAGTCATGTTAAAATGTTGACAGATAAATACATGTGATAGTAGTTAATCAACTTATGGTCAAGCATGAAGATACTATTACCATCTTATTCAAATAATTTTGAGTTTTAAAATCTTGATTGAATAGACTTTTATTCTTTTTCATTCTAATTAATGTTAGTTTGGTAGTCTTTTTCTAATTTATGTGACAAAGAGTGCGTTAAGACATTTTCTCGTTAGTTGTATTACAATTTTCAAATTTATGTGATCTTGCGATGACAGAGAGTACTTTAAAACATTTCATTGCTATTTTATATTTTCTCAAAAAGATAATTTATATTTGCAGTAAAATGAGTAAAATCGTTTTATCGACAGAGATTTATCAAAAAAAAAAAAAGAACATTTCATTTTCTCATAAAAAAAATTCATGATCGTTACGGCACTTTTAAAATAATGTTATTATCGGAATCAGCATCTTCGTAAGGCTCATAAAAACCGAATCTCCATCTTCGTAACCTTCCTCCATTCACAGTACCCACACGCGCCTTCCCCGAATCGAACCCTCCGCAACACCATTTCTCAAACCCTAACCCTAATGGGGTCCATTTCCGTTCTCCTCGTCGCCCAAGTAATGCCATACCTAGAACAAGAACTCAACAAACGCTACAACCTTCTCCGCGCATGGGATTTCCCTCAGAAATCGAATCTCGTATCTCAACACGCCGCGTCGATCCGTGCCGTTGTCGGAAGCTCGGTCGCCGGTGCTGATTCTGAGTTTATTGACTCGTTACCGAAGCTGGAAATTGTTTCGAGCTTTAGCGTTGGTGTTGATAAGATTGATCTGAACAAGTGTAAGGAGAAAGGGATTCGAGTTACGAATACTCCTGATGTTTTGACTGATGACGTGGCTGATTTGGCTATTGGTTTGATCCTTACGCTTTTGAGGAGGATTTGTGAGTGTGATCGGTTTGTTAGAACTGGAAATTGGAAGAGTGGTGATTATAAATTGACTACTAAGGTAAAAACCTAATCGCTAAGTTTCTATGTTGATGTTTTTCAATTTGATATTGGGAAAATTTTGCAGTACGATTCAATCATGTTGTTGTCAATCCTAAATTGTGGGAATTAGATTTGTTCAAATTCTGCTATGCAAGACTGCTAGAGCTCTGTAGCACCAACAACACCTCTGGAAAAAATGTTTGTCCGTCGTGTTTGAAATCGACACCGACTATTTATTTATTTTCTAACTATTATTGCATGTCGGTGTTGATGTTGTGTTTCCATTGTGATTCATAAACTACAAGTCTACGATACTTCTATTTGTCAATATATTGTACTAAGTAGCTTACTGGAGAACAATAGCAGTTTTGATTTGTTGAAATTACAACATTGAATGCTATTGATTGTATAAATAACCATGGCTTTAGTTTTAAGTCTTGTTGTGTGTATGGTCCATTCTTAATACCCTGAAAACTAGTAATGGTGAAACCAATGTGAATGGTATGTTTGGATTGACCTTGAGTTTGGCGAAATTGCAGTGTACCATGATTTTGTTAAGGCTTTGAAATATAATTTTTACCATAATTTTGGCAACTCGCCGTTATTCCACAAATCTCACCGTCAATTCAAACTTGCACTATAAATGATTTATGTAGAACTAGAAACGTAATTTTAAATTGTGGTTTGCGACTGCAGCTGTACTACAAAAATCTTAGAGGTCTTTGCAGTGATGTCAGAGTCACAATTGTGGTTGCATTTTTTTGAAATTTCAATGTTTGGAGCATAGTAGTGCACGCTATTAGGATCCCTTTATCTCCAAGAGAGAAAAATTGAGTTCAACTATGTACAAACTCGTGTTTTAGATAACTCAATTGAACTTATATGAACTCGTTCATACTTTTGCTCAGACCCGCAAGTTTATACTCAAGTGAGTTTTTTACAAACGCAACACTTTTGCTCAGACTCACTAGTTTGTACTCAAGTGAGTTTATTAAAAAACCAACATTAGAAACCAATATCACTTGTTTCACCATAGGGTTTCAACATTTTTATCCCTCTCAATGCCTCCATGCGAAATGAAGGTGTCTTTGACATTGTTCCTTTCTCACCAGTGTCCTCAACATCTTACGATTCATGTAATTCGCTTCTTGATTTGATGTGAAATTAAACTTCTTGATTTGATACATATCAGAATGTGAATGAATCTCTATTGGATCTCTCAACGTGAATCTCAATTCAATTCGTTGAATCGCATGGAGTTGGGAGATGTGAATCTCATTGAATTGCATGATATGAATTCAATCATGGGTACATCCTAGAAACAGGCTGAGTTATGTGACTTGGTTTCGAAATGTTTTTGCCTATATGACATTTGCTTTTACTTTAAAATGTCATATTTGTATATACCGGAGAAACTCAACTAGTTTGTAGTTATGCAGGTTCTAGAGTTTGACAAACATCCTACTTTTCAATATTTACAATTCCCCCCTCCATTTTCCAACAGGAATTTGATTTTTTTCATCTGTTTTTTTTCTTGCAGTTCTCTGGGAAAAACGTTGGTATTATTGGGTTGGGAAGAATTGGCACAGCAATTGCCAAGAGAGCAGAAGGTTTTAATTGTCCAATAAGCTACTATTCTAGAACTCAAAAGCAGGAGTCAAAATACAAGTACTATCCAAGTGTTGTTGAGCTAGCATCCAACAACGACATACTGATCGTTGCCTGCCCTCTTACAGAGCAAACCCATCACATCATCAACCGAGAGGTCATTAATGCACTTGGTCCGAAAGGTTTCCTAATTAACATTGGTCGAGGTAAGCATGTTGATGAGCCAGAGCTGGTCTCTGCATTGCTTGAAGGTCGTTTGGGTGGAGCTGGACTCGATGTTTTTGAAAACGAGCCTCATGTTCCTGAAGAGCTTTTTGGGCTAGATAACGTTGTCTTGTTGCCTCATATTGGAAGCGCCACAGTAGAAACTCGGACTGCTATGGCTGACCTTGTTCTTGGAAACTTGGAGGCTCATTTCCTTGGAAAGCCACTATTAACTCCATTGGTTTAATTCTTCACACCCGATCTGTTGGCCATTGACCTAGATAATTTTGAAGGAATGGCCTCCATTCAGTTGCATCATCAGCTACGATAGATGCTGTAAAGAATAAGTCAGTACATTTTAATTGTGGGACATCTTAATATATGTTTGGACTTTGGATACATGTTATTGCTTTAATTCAAATTTGTGTGGTTTGCTGCAATAATAAACACATAATCTGATTATCAATGAGACTTTGGCTATGTTTGGACTGATACAACATGACGGAGCGGCGCAAAGTGTAACATAACGGAGCGGAACCGAGTGGAGATTTGCTACAATAATAAATGGGACTTTGGCTATGTTTGGATTGATACAACATAACGGAGCGGCGCAAAGTGTAATATAATGGAGCGGAACATAATGGAACAAAGTGTAATATAATGGAGCGGAACATAATGGAACATAGGGAAGTGGAATGGAGCGGAGCATAATAGAATATAAATTTTCACTCTATTATTTGATAATTTTATTAAAATATTTCATTTCATCACACACACTTCGAATTGAATGGGACAAAAAATAGAAAACCTCAAATTGAATGGAACAAAAAATAAGAAATTGGATAAAATGGATTCTATATTCCATTCTATTTCATTTATTATTTACTAATTCAAACAATAAAATTATATTACTTATCACTCTATTTCATTTTTTCATTTTTTCATTCCATACAACCGATCCAAACATATCCTTAGGCAAGAATTATCTTCTAGTGAAATAGCTGATGTTGTTATGTTGGCTCTAAATTTTATTGCTCATCTGATAAAACGGTGATTATAGAACAAATTGGTTAGATATAAAAATATCCATACACAATTGATATATTTTTGAGTTAGCAACACATTCCTTTTATTACACTATTTTGTATTGGATAAAATTTATAGGAGGATAGCAACACACTTCCTTAATAAGTTTTAATAAGTTACGATCTTTTATTTTTGTGCATGTATTTCAACAATGGTTTTGCCATTATCGTCTTGGGAAATAGATAACAATGGAGGAGATTCGTCTATATGTTTAAATGAAAATTTATTATAATAATATTTTTTTTAAGAAAGTTATGAAGGGTTACATAGGTCAGTCAATACATGGTGTAAATTAAATTTCATTTTTATTTTCAGAGTTATCACAACAATCTACTAAATATTGGAGATGATAATGTACTTCTTCGATATGGGGTTAAAAAAAATTTAATTGTTTAAAATATCCAACAAAAATATTTACCTTACTATTTATACAAAAATTATAAAATCAGTATGAAAGACCATAACATTGGTCCAATAACATATTGACTCCTCAATCTCAACACTAACTCTTGTGGACTCTTGGATCGAAAAATTACAAGAAAAGTGGATTAGGAGAGAATGGTGTAATCCTCATGAGAAACATGTTAAGTTCCGTCATAGAGATACATCTAATCAAGGTGTGTAATTGAACTAAGGTTGTTAGATGATGTAGTGGTCAAAAAGTACATTTGTGTGTGTTATTCCTACATGGATAGAGAATACTTAGAGGCTTTAGTGAATTTATAACGACTAGGGATTGCCCGCGGCGGCGAGAGGCTCTGAATGGTGGTGTCTACGACATTTATAGTGGCATGAAAGGGTCAACCCGCGTGAGGTGAGTGGCTCTGTGTATAAGTGTTAGGCTTTGATAAAATGTGATATCCTCTCTTCCAATAAGAAGAGAAGTATTTATAGAAATTCTTTTAGATTATAGGGCATCAGAGTATCCCTCAAGCACAAAGGCTTTGATAAAAGACGTAATGCTTTTAGACTAGAGAGCATCAGAGTATCCTGATGCCCTAGTTTCTTTGTGATATGGTGTGACAAACTAGATTGACTAGGCTTGGATCCTAAAGTGAGACATTGGACCTCTCGGGTGAGACTTCTATCAAACCCTTAGACAAGACGTAAACTAAGTCTCTTAGGTTAGGCTTCAATCGCGCCTCTTAGGCGAGATTTATATGTTGGATCTCGCTCGATGGAACTTTAAGTCTCTCAGTTGAACCTTAAATTATGTTAAAGGATTGAAAGATGCAAATGAAAGATAACAATTTCAAAAATATAGAAACTTTGAAAGAATGATTAATTAGATGATGGTGATGATGATATCTCCATACACCATTTTTACTATGAAGGAAATACACTGAAGTCATGATTAATTGTACAAAAAATACCTCAAAGACGTGGTTAATTAACTAATGATATCTAATTTTATATGCAATGTTTCATATAATTGTGTTACATCAAAGATAATGAACAAAAAGGGGACTAAGAATATCCCCAATAACACCAAAGTCGTTCCCCTCGCTTAGATCTTCAATTTGGACAAAGATAGTCTAGACAACTCAGAAAAATATATATAGGTTATGATGATAAGATTTGTGACACCTAATATTCTAGAAAAAATAACAGACACTCTAGATAAGTTGAACTACATAACTCTTTGAATAAATAACACTCAATTCACATTTGTTGTATTTTGCTTTTTGTTGTTCAAAAGGTGGTAGAGAAACCATTTCTCAAGGCTCTTATATGAAGACAAAGGACCCATATACTCAACCAAGATGAATTCTTAGCCAACCAACTTAACCAATTAAATGACATCGTACAAATTTTTACACTTGGTTGAATAAGGATTTCGGCGGCCCTTAACCTCACCTAGCTTGATTCCCCATTGAAGTCACTATGCTTAGTTTAGTGAGAACTATATCCCTCAACTTCAACAAATTAATTTTTCTCTCAGACTTCTACACTTTGGTTGTGTGAGAATTTTGACTCTCAACCTCAACAATCTGAACCCCCTCCAAGTTCTTACACTTGGTTGAGCAATAACTCTGACCCTCAACCTCAGCAAATCGGACCCCTCTAAATTATTATTCTTGGTTGAGTGAGAACTTCAACCCTCAGCCTCACAAAGTTAGATCCCCCTTCATTTTCTCTGGTACGCCCACTTCTCAGCTAGCCACATAGTCATTGAGGTAATGATTCCGCCTCCATTTTGATATGAAGATTCCTTCTAAGGACAAGGACGAGAATATTTGTATTTTGACTAATGACTTGTTCTCAAAGATGTTGAAATCTCAATAACACAAGACACACAAAACATAAATCAGAACATAGCTTTAAAGAGCCACACATTTTTCAAGATGTTGACACAAATGTAAAAAATGTATCAAAATCAAAACAAATATGTTCACAAGTCAATTATGTTGCCTGGCCAATCGACAATACGACATGTTCAGGTGATAATAGTCTCAACAAGAGACTTTTAATTAGTCATCTAGAACGCCAAAAAAACATTGAACTTAAGTCATCATCGATATCATGCTATCTTCCACAAATCATTAGTGTCATAAATCTGAGTTTCACATTGGATTTGTAGTGATACATTGGACACTATTATTAATGCGACTCTCATATAGATACATCTTTTTAACATTACTATCGTGACCTTTGATTTATTCATTTTTAAGATATGAAAAATTCATTGTTAAACTAAAAATATATAAAACATTGATTAAATTTATTTTAAAAAATTATTTGAACGAGTATCATGGATAATGGATTCACGACACATTTATACATCCAATACATTCAAAGAGAAAGTTGTGGTTTTATTTTTAAAACTTTTCAAGTGAATAAAACATGAGAAAATACTTTTATAAAAGATGCATCACATACTCAACTAAAACTTTAACTAAAGTCGGCTTAAACCTTAAAAATATTTACAGTATTTGTTTACCGTTTATAAAGTTATAAAATTCTTAATTTAAAAGGTTTTTAAATTTTAATTAAATATTAATTTTTAAAATATCTCAATTTTATCATTTTAAAAATATTTTTCAGTTCAATAGCTAATAACACTTAAATTCTCTATACACATTAAAATTAACATTAATTATAAATAAGTTTAAAATTATTTGTTTAAAAAGTTTATTTTATTTTTAATTAAATATTATTTATAAAAATATTTTAATCAAATTTCGCTTTAAGAATATACTAATATAAAAAAAATAAATCTGGAGTCCTTTTACAAAATATTATAATAATATTAAAAAGATAAATTTAAGTAATTGAAATAAGAAAGAATAATAAATATTTAAATGTATAAAAAAATGAATGTTATTTCAAAACGATTTATAATAAATAAAAAAAAGGTAGTAGATCATATTTGAATAAATTTTAAATTATAATATAAGTGTTTAATAAAAAATAAATGCTTATGAATAAATTTATATAAATTATTTCCAAAATAAAAGTAAATAAATTATTTTTATATATATTATAAATTGTTTTCAAATAATTTTATGATTAATGTTATAAACTCTTATGATACAGCAGCACGTAACGGACATATGGTCTGTCACCTCTTTTTATAAGAGTATAAATTACTGCAATTACTGTATTATTTTAGAAATAAATACAACCCTAAGATCTTACATATACATACACTAAACTATTTTAACACATCAATATAAAATACATACATTATTATAAAGCAGAGAGATTAAACCTAAAAGCCAAAATCCAAATTTCTCAGACATAGCTTCCAACCAAGATAGGTTTCTTCTCTTTTTTCTCTTTCTCTTCACTTTCCTTCAAACCCTCTTTCTCCTTAATATCCAACCCTTGCAATCCATCCACACACGGTCCCGGCGCTTTATTCTCCGGCTCGATCACATCCACAACATCAGACACGTCGTCTTCGGCAGGCGTGGGATCGTCGAGGCAATCATCGTTGCTGGAGAATATTGAGGCGGCGCCTGATTTCACCGCGGCGGCGGCTTTGAGAAACGCTTCGTGGATTAATTCTGGAGGAAGCGCGGGATCTTCGAGACCTGCGTCTTCTAGACGCGGAGGTATAATCTGGTGCAGAAAACTTGATTGGTTTTCGGTGGACTCCATTTTTTTTGTCTCAAATGAAACCTGATTACTCGCTTTGATATACTACCGTTAAAGGCGGTGATGGTGTGTGGGCTTTTCTGTTGGGCTTTTTGCTTTTGGCCCATTACAATTTTTATAACCCATTTCAATATAAAAAAAACATATCAATTTTGTTAGAAAAATACATATCAAATATGTTAGAAAAATACATTTTAATTAAAAGTTATGTGTATAAGTTTTGTTACGATAATAAAATGTATAAGTTAAAGAGATGAAAAGTTGATTAACTTTAAGTTAAGTTAAGTGTTTTGATTAGAATTAATTATTATAATTGTATAATAAAGTGATAAGACATTCGTGATAGACAAATGGAAAGATGCGGTGGTAGCGGTGTATTGGGGTGAGATGTTGTTTTGTCTCGTTTATTAGTTGCTCATGTGCTCATGTGCATATGGTTCGATACTAAGACCAACTCCAATGGGAGTTCTTAAGGTGGGTTTGCCAACATGGCACCCATATTTGTTGTTTTCAAGATTGTCATGTTGTTGAACGGTTCTTAATTAAGCAACGGTTCTTCAACGGTTCTTATATTAAAATATTAATTTTATAATTTAAAAGCTATAATTTAATATAAAATTTTATTTATTATTTTAATTATCATATGAAAATTATAATTACAATATTAAAATATTAATTTTATAATATAAAAACTATATTTTAATTATAAGTTGTGGGACCCAACATGAGTTCTTCATAGTTGCACCATTGAAGTGAAAATTTAGTTGAGTTGCTTTAAGCTGACGTGGCTTAATTGGTCCCACAAAGAACCCAAAAATGAGTTCATGGTTGGAGATGCTCTAAGAAGTCTTTCAATTTTCAAATCATTAAAAGTGTATGTAATTAATAAGATAGACAATTAATAAGTAGGTGAAGTCTCCTCTAGATAGATACAGACATGTATGAACATACTTAAATATAAGAGCTTGCTAAAGATTTCTCAAGTTAATTAATATTTATCATGGTATTTAAGACTTACAAGGCCCAAATGTAATATTGATCTTTCTGAATCAGGAATAGATCAGCAGCCAGCAATGCGTCGTGAGTTTTTAACAACGGGAGAGAGAAAGCAAGTACAAAAAAGTGTAGAAAGTTAGAATACCTTACTCTCTTACGTGTTAGTATAAAAGATTTGTATGTGGTTTTCGTCTTGGATCAACTGCTCCACAAATTTCAGAGAGTTAGAGACATGTTCTCTCGAATGTGGGTAGTTGGCTGATGACGTGTTCCCGTGTGGGGAGCACGTGGAGAATGTGAGGAGAACGTGTGAGGAATGTTTCCTCTCTCGGTGGGGGTGGATTGGGCATTTGCATTAGGCCCTTTCTGACACGAAGCTGAGTTGGATCGTGTCCCACGGTGGGCCAACTTTAAGTCCAAAACAAATATAATTTGACAATTGATCATTTTGATCATGTTTATGTGTTGATATACATTATATTTATGCATTTATTAATTTAGTTGTCCAACATTTACACACATCATATTTTGTCTCATTTGTTAGTTGTCTATATGCTCATGTGCATATGGTTTGATATTGAGAAGTCTTTCAAATTTCAAATCATTAAAAGAGTGTAATTAATAAAATAGATAATTAATAAATAGGCAAAGTCTCCTATAGGCTATCATATGTTTGATAGTAGGTAATGCATCTTATCTTTTGGTCAGGTACTTTTGCTTAAGCTACCATATGTTTGGTAGTAGGTGCTCTGCCCTTTCAAGTTTATTACCTTTACTTAGGTTATCATATGTTTGATAGTAGGTAATACACCTTTCTTTTTTATCTGATACATTTGATTAGGCTACCATATGTCTGGTAGTAGGTCATATTTCCTTCTGAGTTCATTACCTTTACTTATGTTATTATATGTTTGATAGTAAGTAATACACCTTATCTTTTGGTCAGGTACCTTTGTTTAGCCTACCATATGGTTGGTTGTAGGTACTCTTTTCTTTCAAGTTAATTACTTTTGCTTAGGCTATCATATGTTTGATAGCAGGTAATACACCTTATCTTTTGGTCAGGTCCCTCTGTTTAGGCTATCATATGTTTGATAGTATGTAATACACCTTCTCTATTTCTTTGGTCAGATTGTCTTTGCTTAGGCTACCATATGTTTGGTAGTAGGTTATCTTTCCTTTTGAGTTCATTACCTTTAATTAGGCTATTACATGTTTTATAGTAGGTAATGCACCTTATCTTTTGGTCAGGTACCTTTGCTTAGGCTACCATATGTTTGGTAGTAGGTGTTCTGTCTTTTCAAGTTTATTACATTTGTTTAGGCTATCATATATTTGATAATAGGTAATGCACCTTATCTTTTGGTCAGGTACATTTGCTTAGGCTACCATATGTTTGGTAGTAGGTGCTTTGTCCTTTAAAATTTATTACCTTTGCTTAGACTATCATATGTTTGATAGTAGGTAATACACCTTATCTTTTGGCCAGGTACCTTTGCTTAAGCTACCATATGTTTGGTGGTAGGTCATCTTTCCTTCTGATTTTATTGCCTTTGTTTAGGCTACCATATGTTTTGTAGTAGGTAATACATATCTCTCTCTTTTGGAGCTACCTTATGATTGGTAATTATAATTCTTTCCCAAGTGGAGTTACAACCTTTTCCCCTAGTATATTCATCTTCCGTGGTATCATTCCCCACATAACATTTGTCTTTCATTCATCCTATATCATATCATATCATGAACATATTTGTGGTATTTTAGGGCAAAACATTATGCATGTTTGTGTTTAAGTCTCTCCTATTGCGTTAAGACGAAGATTTCAACCTCCATATCTCCGAATAGAAGAAACTTAAATAGAGGCATCTGTCACACCTTAATTTTTAACTCTAAGGTTCCATATTCATTTGCATAGCATCAAACACCTTTTGTGCGTGTTTTTATATTTTTTCTAACTTCGTTTGAAAATACAAAAAATATATGTTTTTGCTTTGCTTACAAGCTAGGGTTTTTAGTTCAAGAAGTTCAAGCAAATGATTAATCAAGGATTTGTGTGATTCTCCACTTCTCAAGTCCCTCTACTCATTCATGGTGATCAAGAGTTTTCCTCCATCAATAATAAAATTTGAGTGTTGATCATTGTTTTTTATACGTTAATTATAATAATATGACTAACATTGAGTTTACGTCATATATATTAAATAATATAAATAATATATATTAAATAATAAAGTTTACGTCATATATATTAATAAAGTTTACGTCATATATATGATAAAGTTTAAGTCATAAATAATATGACTAATATGATCAATAATAAAGTTTACATCATATATTAAATAATATAAATAATATAAATATATATATACATATATATATATATATATATATATATATATATATATATATATATATATATATATATATATATATATATATTCATATATATATATATATATATATATATATATATATATATATATATATATATATATATATATATATATATATATATATATATATATATATATATATATAAAATATATATATATATATATATATATATAAAATATATATATATATATATATATATATATATATATATATATATATAAAATATATATATATATATATATATATATATATATATATATATATATATAAAATATATATATATATATATATATATATATATATATATATATATATATATATATATATATATATATATATATATATATATATATATATATATATATATATATATATATATATATATATATATATATATATATATATATATATATATATATATATATATATATATATATATATATATATATACATACTAAATAATATAACACAAAATATATTTTTACAGTTTTTTTAACAATTATTTTAAAACTATTATAATATAAATTTGAAAAACTTAAAAAATAAGAATAATATTTTCAAAAATAATATACTAAAAATAAATACATAAATTTCGAAATAAAAAATAACATATATTTTCTTATACCGACATCAACCAAAAAATATATATTGATATCAATTACATCTAAAGTCTTAAGGGAAAAAAGAAATATGTATCTTTTGATGCTCCCCTAAATTTGTAGTTCCTTTTAAGAAAAATTTGAGTGCTTTATATATTATCAACAATATACATGCAACACAATAAATAAATAAAAGAAATTAATTAATAAATTTAAAAAATAAAATAAATTACAAATACAAAAATAAATAAACATATAAAAATACTTAAATTAGATTTTATGGAGTGAGAAAAAAATGGTGGAAGATGAAAGGAAAAGAAGAATAATAGAGGAAGAAAGGAGAAGAAGAAAAATGGAGGAAGAAATGAGAAATAGTTAAATCTGACAGATATTATTGGAATTTGTTGGAATGTATTGTTGTCATTTGCGAGGGGCTGCCCCCACACCACCCTCAACGGTCACAATGAAGTGTCAGCACTTGCGAGGGGATACTCCACCCAAGTAAGAAATATTTCATTTGCGAGGGGATACCCCTAGCCAGTGTTGACGTGTTGTAGGTAATGTGGCAGCGGAATAAATATTTTTGCATGTGGATTTGACTAAAGCATGATAACTGGTGAGGGGTGGCCCCTCGCAAATTGTGAAGCATGACGTGGTGAGGAGATGCCCCCTCGCAAATGTCCATAATTCCCACCAAATTCTGCGCTGATCCCTAGTAAAAGCATATTTTAAATTTCAAAAAACTTTCCCCGCCTTGTTTGCGAGGGGTATCCCCTAGCTAACTGTTTTTATTTTTATTTTTTCTGTTGTGTTTTGTGAGGGGTTTAACCCCAAGCAAACTGATTTGTTTTAGTGAGGGGTTTTCCCCCTATCCCATGCTCCTAGCTAATATCATGTTTTCTTGTAGTGAGTATTAACATCACTAAATGATAATTTTGTAAATAGATGATCTTCTCATTTACACTATCAATGGCAGAATTGTAATTATAAGTAGTAGACTTATAATTAGAAGTATATACTCAGGGCAACCTTGGTACTCAAGAAACTAGAGAATCAAAACCTCTATAAATAGTCATTCACATTTTCTTCATTTTAACACAATCATTCAAGGAAAATTCAAGAGAAATAGTCATGAAATTCTTTCAAATACCATATTCTCACTAAAATCATATTCTTAGAATCAAGGATATTCCTGCTAAAAATATTTGTCTTATAATCTCATCATTCATTCAAGAAAAAATCAAGAAAAAAGAAAGAAAAGAGAGAAAAAAATGAGAAAAGCTCACTACATCATTATTTCACTTTTTAAAAAGTGTTTTTGAAGGGGGCAACGGACTCACTCTGTTAAGTAATTTGTTCATCCTTAGACCCCTTTTTACCATTTTTTTTCCTTATTTTCCTTCCTATTCTCTTCCTTATTTCTTTTTCTCTTTTTCTTCTTTTTTAATTCTCTTTTTTTTCATTCATTTAATTTATTTATTTAAGTCCCAATATTAAAAAAAACAAAAATATTTATTTATCTCGTTTGATTATTTATTTATTTATTATTATTTATATTTTCATATTTAAAAACCCAAAAAAATATTGCATTTTTGTTTAAGTTTATTTTGTATTATTTATTTTATATTCACATGACTTTTGATTTTGTTTAAATAATTTTTTATTGTTTATTTCATGTTAAAGTCCATGCTTGATCATCTCTTAACATGCCTTGTTGTTAAATATCATTTTTGATATCATGTCGTGATTGAGGTTGTTGTCTTGTTAAGTTTTATTCTTGAGATATATATACTTGCTTGATTCATGTGAGATGTTTAGTTGACTTTTGGTCATATTTTAGGATTGAGTGTCTTGATGATATGATCATATTACTAGATGCTTTGTTTAAATGTTTATGCGTTTCTTTTGGTGTTGCATCTCTTGCCATGTTGGTTTGGTTTTTAGGGTTTGATTAAAAAATGAGTGATCATATGATCCAAAAATTCTGATAACTTGAGTTGCTTCCTTGAATATTATCTTTATGATACACACCTTGCTTGATATATACTTGTGACCCTTAAATCTTTATGTTGCTTGTGTTAAATCCAAAGGAAGGGATTATAGTTGACTTTGTTGTCATGTGCATATCCATAGTGTGTTTCTTTGCATCCTTCACCCATCACTTGATTATTGTTTACCCCTTAGATTGTTTACCATTAGATCTCCAATTTTCTAACTTGAATCTCTTTCAATAAAAAACCTTAACATTAGGCCATTGAATTTTCAAACTTTCTTTTTCTTTAATAAATGCTTCAAGACATCTTAAGCATATTCAAATCTTTTAATAAGACTGAAAATAACATAAACCTCATTCAAAACTTTGCCACTTGACTTTTCAATTTAAAACTTTTTCTCAAAGAAAGATTAGACATGATTCATCCTTATTTGAGATATAAATCTCTTACCCCATGACATTTTTTAGAAAGATGTTGACTATTTTCCACTTGAGAGAGGTATGTGGCATACTTGTTAATTCTATATCCAAGTTGGAGCCCTTCTCTCATTGTGAAGCAAAAATTTATCTTCCACATGTTTGTGTTGGTTTAATTGAGTATTCTCCTTAAGATGACAAAATGTTTCTTCATTAAAACCAACCAAAACCAATCATTTTGTTATTTGTATCCGAACTACGATTACTCTAACTTCCTGTATAGAATACGTAGGCACAAGATTGCGAGATCTTACCGAGCTACCTTTTTTTTTTCAAAAACAATTAAAAAACATTTCTCTTTTCATCTACCCAATCAATCAATAGCAAACAACTTTTAACCTAACACAAATAATACAAGAGATTCCTATAGGATACTATAGATACTTAAGGTGCTAGTATATTCCCTTAGAGCAACTTTAACGCAGATTTGTTAAACCAAAATTCCTTATAGCTTACGTTAGTAATAAGGAATTTGCATTATAGTAGAGCTGACGTGACATCCAAATGAACTAAAATTTAGTTCCCATTCTCTATATAGTTAACGTTAACTATTGATGTTAAACCTATTATAATATTATTTAATATTAATAAAATATTCCAAATATTTCAACAGCATTAAAGTAACCGTATGATATTTGAAAATAGTAACGGTCATATTACCATTTTTTTATCTTCTATAAATTCTATAGAAACTTTAATTTTTTGTACACACAGTTTTACTTCTAAATTTTTTTCTTTCAATTTTCAATCTTATTTATTTATCAAATTTCCAATCTTATATTTTTTTTGTTAAAATATAATTCGTTGCTTATTGTCATGTATTATTTTATATTCCTATGAAAATGTAATTTTTTTTATGTATTATTGTTGTGAATTTTGTATCATTTTTAATTTTTATAATAAAATATATTTAATATTATTTTTAAGTTTTTAAGGTAAATTTTATTTAAAAAATTGTATGTATTTTAATTAAAATAATTAAATTAATGATAACTTAAATAAAAAATATAAAATGTGGGGTCAAATTTTGGTTTCTTATAGACAACCACCATTAAAGTAAAAACTACTCAAATCAACTATAAAATTTTTAAATCCTACAAATCACTTTGGTCCCACAAAAAGTATCTTAGTTTACCCATTTAGTTTACTCCCACTAAAGATGCTCTTAGTATAACCAACCCCCGTACTTTAGATCTCTTTATTGCATTATTTTGCATTGCATATTTATGAGTTATTCTTTCTTTTCCCATTAACTTGGATAAATTAAATATCGTTGGTGATATCTTAAGATTTGTGAGCCTAACTAATCAATAGTCATTGTCTCTGATTCCTCATCGCGACATATCATAATACTCAGGCTGAGACAAAGTATGTTGAATATAGAGATATAAACACTTAGATGCACCCTATAATGATCAACAATTTCTAAGACATCTTTGTCATCAACCAACACATTCATCCCAAATGTGAGATCCATGTAATATATTTTCTCTATGGCACTATAACCTAACTCCTTGAAACAACCTAACAATTCAAAATAACTCCACCTGTCAACTCTACTTTCAAAACAAAAAATTATCTTTCTTCGTACACACTAAATTCCTCATTAATGAATTCACCACTATGATGACTTTTTAGATGTAAACATTCGTCCATTTCAAACTATACCCTAAAAATGAAATTGCAGAACAAATATATTCAGAAAGATCGAAAAAACTATAAGCACCTAAACCTAAACCCCAATTATAACATTTTAGAATTGCTTAAAGATTTTGTGAAACAAACATGTAATCATGAACCCCAATTATAACATTTTAGAATTGCTTAAAGATTTTGTGAAACAAACATGTAATCATGAATGGTGTTACTTTCAAACAAGGTTTCAACTTCGCCTACTCTCCTCCTTTCGCAAATCACAGTTGATTCCTCCATCATCAATTCCTCTACTAGAATTCGCCTACTCTCCTTCCTTTAGTTTTCTTTTTTAACGTGACATTATTTTTACAATTAAATAATCAACTTGATCTCTTTTAAAATAAATTGAGAGAGCAAAATTGATCCTAAAGTAAAATTAAAGAAGAAAAAAAAGTATTTTGCCTAAAATTTAATATTCAATTCATTTTCACATAAATATATTTAAACATGGATCACCAAATATTCCAGTTACTTTTAAATAAAATCAATTTTTATCAATACAGAACCGAAGATCCAATAAGTGGAATCCAGTTAAACATTTGGGAATATCCTACATGCTTTCGCATCTTTTTTCTGAAAACCATAAAGAGGAGGAGGATTAGGAATATTATGTAATGGTGTGTTGCATCATCTTTATTAGAAAAATAAATAAATGGAAATCTTTGATACACTCTCAACCAAAGCCAAAAAATCTAATATGGATTCGCAAATACTTAATCCAAAGCCAAAAAACTATGAACATCAATTGCAATAAATAACTCCCAAAAGCACGCAATAAAGTCACCGGTATACATTTCCTCATTCAGAATATATTTTAACAAACATTAGAGATCAAGACAAATAAAAATGAACATTCTAACCCACGCTACTGAGATACAAAACAGAATTTGCAATTTGTCCTTGGTTTTACCATTGCTAATAAAAATAGCTGCTGGCTCATAATCATTGAGGGACTCTTCTATGTTGGCATCAAACAATCACAGAACTCCCTACTCAACATTCACAGCCAGTAGATCTTTGCTGTCGTCCACCATTGCCCACATCGATTGTGTCGGGCAGATACCTGGTATAATCAACAAAAACCACACAAAGATATGATGTTTTATATAAGAGCAAGTGACATGGCAAAATTATGAGACTCGGGAAGAGATTCATGTTCAAAATAGATACAAATAAGAAATTTGTCTCGATTGGATTTTAGTTATGTATCAAATTGATATACGATCGCATGTATTGCAAGATACCGAATCATGATAACCATGCTTTTGATGAGTAAAGATGAGGCTTTAAAAGTAGGAAATTGTAAATAATATACTAATGATCAAGGATTTAGTTACTCTATCCCAACCGTTAATGAGAGAATTAGAGATTGGTATTCAAACACGTCCACGATTTGTAATGCATGCATAAAGAAAAACCCTCTGAAGTAAATTACTCGTTTTAGAGGTGTCAAATCCAATGAATAATGGCATGCATAAAGAAAAACCCAGTTCAAGAAAACTCACATTTCTTCTTCAGGTTCATTCTTGAGTGCATTTTTAGCTATACACTGGAAAGCAGCTTCAACATTAAATCCTTCTTTTGCAGAGGTCTCAAAGTATGGTATGTTTCCCTTTGAAGCACACCATGCCTTTGCTTTCTTCTCAGAAATCTGCGGAAAAAGAGATAGTTGTGTCACATCTTCTGGCAGCTATAGAAGAAAATTTAAAGAGCCTGTTTGATATGAGAAAACCTGTTCTGCTTTTGTTTTCCGTTTTACAAATATATATAAAACATTTCTAAAATCAAAAGACCCTTATTCACCGTGTGTAATATACAATTAGGCCATTGGAAAAGCAGTAACTTACAACTCTGCTGTTGCCGCCATCAACATCTATTTTGTTTCCTAACACAACAAACGGGAAGTTTTCGGGGTCAGACGGACTAGCCTGAAAATCAAAAAAATCCAAGAGTTTCGTGAGGTTCTTTAATAAGAGACATGTGAAAATACAACAAAGCTTAGTATTGATTTGAGTTTAACAGAGACACACAGTCAGTGTAAAATAATTTAACAGTGGCATCCAATGAGAACTCGTGATACGGCCGCACAAGACCACTTTGTAACTGCAATTTAGAAGTAACTGTAAAATGCTGAATTCTCATCGGATGTTGTGTAAAACTAGCTTACGTTGGCGGTGCATATCCCCTTTTCTCTAATGATCAAACAAAATTACCTGAATGAGAAACTCTTCTCTCCAATGGTTAAGGTTTTCAAAAGATTTCAGAACGTTGACATCATAAACTAGGACGCAGCAATCAGCACCACGGTAGAAAGCTACACCAAGACTCTGAAACCGCTCTTGACCAGCTGTATCCCATATCTGCATGTACAATTGAAATATAAAAATTATAAATACATGTTATTTACATCGGAGAAGATTTCAATCTTAAACAATAATTAATTTATAAAATACATTAAATCTGAGAATATCATACAACCGAACATAAATTGATCTTTCATCATGTAGAAAGTGAACTAGTCGCAACCATCATCAAATATCATACATAATGGACGTCATTTAATAGTTCATACAACATAATAACATTAATTTTACAACAAAAAACAGAAGATATTTTCTTTGCATTCCAAGTTTTAGTTTTATACCCATTTACTTGTCTAACTTTGACAAATATGTTAGTATTGACAAGTGACAACAAATCGTAATCCGAGAGATTTCCCAACAAAGCACAAGAGGTTGACAAAATTCATAACTCTATTCATGAAATCTGAAGAACAAACATTCTTGTAACTGGAAATTAAAAAAATATCCACAAAACTTGAAGCAGAAAACAACCTAATAAGTTTGTTAGCTGTTCAAAAGGACAATGATTAGTTATTTCAATTCCTGAAACTAAAGAGCTTCCAGCGCAATATGCAAAACTGGATTTGGATCTACTGCAGATTTAAACGAACGAAGATCTGAGCCATTTCCATTGAGGAACAAATCGATCCTTTCACAGTGGCGCTCACGGCAGTGAAGGAAAACATCCAGAGTTGCGATGGTATGCAACGAGTAGGAGTTACCAGCAACTCCAAGTACACGGTTTATGAGTTAGGGGTTTGGGATCAATTATTCTATTAGAAGACACGAAAAGCTAACTAGAGAGAATAAATTTCCAAAAACTCTTAAAAACATGTTCTGAAATTTTTGATAAATATTCAATCTATTTCAAAAATGCATTTCCAAAAACTTCCATAATATCTTCTCTAATATTTATTTAACTATATTACGAGGGGAAATGCAAACCAAGAACACGGCTCGGCTCGTAAACAATCACGCATGGCTTCTCTAAGCTAAATTTCACCTTATATTATATAAAAAGTGGCAATGAAATCTATCAAATTGTGTTTTTGCATCTCTCACCTGCAATGTGAACAACCTATCTTCAAATTGAACTTCTTTGGTGAGAAAATCAGCACCAATGGTAGCCTTATACTGATTACTAAACTTCCGATTCACATACCTAAATAATGCAAATCAATAAAAAAAATAAAAAATCATGATCATGCAAATCAATAAAAAAAATTGTCAAACATTTCAACAAATTACTAATCAAAATCCAAATTTTAAACATACTGGTTCATCAATGATGTTTTACCAACCCTGCAAACAACAAATTCAAAACAAAAAAAAAAGTCAATAAGTTTGCATCTAAAATTCATGATATGAAGAAAATTGCAAATCTGTTGAATCTATAACATAAAAAAAAAAGTACTTTTTCACAATAAATATCCAAAATGCTCATTAATAATTTCTATTTAACCTAATAACCGATTAATGAAGATTGGGAATTTGAATTAAGAAGAAGAAGGAGAAGAAAATTACCCACTATCTCCGAGGATTATGACTTTTAACAACATGCGGCGGCGAGAAGCCATGGAAGATGAGAATCAAAATCTTGTGAAAAAAGAAAGAGAAAGAAAATTGGAATTGATTGGAACAGAGAGAATTGTGATGTGGTTGAGATTTTTGCGCAAGAAAAGTAAGTTTTGAAAGACAGATGGAAGAAGACGGGTGAATAAGTACTTACCTACGAAACAGTCGATCAATATAACTCCAATCACTCTTTTATTTCCCAAATTGCCCTCACTGGTTTTTATGTTTTTATGTTTTCAAAAATTGTAATTTGTTAATTTTTTTATATGATGTAAATAAAGAATTATGTGTATAACTTTTTAAAAAGATGCAAGAAAAGAAGAAGACTTAGAAAGAAAACATATGAGGTAGGGTTTTAAGTGAAAAGGAGATTAACAAGTTAAATTAAGTGACTATTAATAAAAAAAATTATCAAGTATAATAATTTTAAAAAATATTTAAGTGTTTTTTTAAATTATTAACGGATACGAATACCACAGATACGAGTACCATCAAATTTATTTACATGTTCGTAAGGAAACAGAGAATTATATATCTGTCTATTTTACTTCGCGAATATCCATTAAACTATTTAATTTGTGTCCATGACGAATTTTATCAACAAATACCCATGGGGTAAGGGTTTTTTTGTCATCCCTATTTCGAAAGAACTTGCTTTGAGTTTTAGGGTGAAAAAATTAAGAAAAAGGTGTATGAGAAATTAGAGTTTGAAAATTATAATATTTATTCTCCCTAATTATAATTAAAGAATTATTTTCATTAAGTTAATGTCACATAATTTTAATTTAATTGTAAAATATTAAAATAATATGTCATATCATTTATTCTTATAACTGAGTTTGATTAAGAATCTTTTGTAAAAAAACAAGAGAACTTTTATAAATCAGGGGTTAGAAAAATCTAAATTTTCTTTTAAAAGGGATTTATAAATGTCTTTTTTATCACAAAGGTGAAATATCTATTAACTCTTATTTCTTTTATGTATTTATAACTAATTATATATCTCTATGTTCTCATACAAATAATCAAATAAGAGGAATTGTTGTTTAAAGACCCATAAATATTTTGCAGTGTTTTTCATTTGTTAATCATCATAAATTTTTCTTAAAGAATTTTCATAGACAACATGAAAACATAAACTTTTTCACTTTTTTAAAATAGCCAATTTTAGCTTAACAAAAATAAAATCGAATAACTAATATACTTTGTACATTCTTGAAAGCTTTTATCTAATGCGATAGCAATGACAATGCACTCTTGTTCGCTATCATGTGATATATTTGATTTCTATCTCAAATAACTTTTCACCATGTCCTTGTTATCATAAGTGTTTTTTTATCTAGTCTTGATCAAGTAAACGGGTAGGTTTATGTGTCTTTCTAGCTTATGATACTCATGTTAGAGGTTATCAAATTTGATTGATTGACCTTAAAACTTCTTGCTATATGTGTTGATCTGGTCAGGAGACTTACTATAGCACCCCAATTGAGATTATTCTATTTATTTGATTATTTATGAATTACTCGAATTTTATTTTAATTAAATGTGGTGTTGATTAATTTAACTTAGGATGATGAATATGTATGTTTATGAGATAGAGGTGTAAAGAGAAAGTAGAAGTTAGTAGAACTTGATTGTAGTTATTTTAGAATTTTTTAATAAATGAAATAATATTATTTAGTTATTTATTAAATTTAATATGAGAAATAGAGAAGTTGTGTCAAAAGTAAGATTTAGAAGTAGAGGAGAGGAAGGAGTAAGAGGGGATTAAGGTTGGGTAATAATTATAATTATTAATATAATTATCCTAAGTATATTATTATTTATTATATCTTATTATTTTATTATTGTGATTAAAATAATAACAGTAAATAGATTTTGAAGAGAAATGACAATGTGAGAATTTTGTGTATAAGCGAGGGTATAAGGGAGAAATCAAATTTAAGGGTTTTTGTTATTATAAAAAAGAAATTAAGAGACTATGGAGAGTTTTCTATCCGTGAGTTAAAACGGAGAGAAAAATGATAGAATAAGGGATTCAAAAAAAGAAGGCAAAGATGTTAGGAGAGAAGAACATCAAGCAAGAACTTTTCAATCGCTGGTAGGATAACCAAGTAAGGGGGGATAATTGATTCAATAACGGGTATATGTATAATGGATAGAATTGAGAAGTCCTTGACCTCCAATAGGATGTTGTTTGATTGCTTTGAATTATGAATTTGATGATGATGTGTTGTTGTGTGATGAATTTGATGATCCAATTTGTGTACTAATATTGTTGGGTTTGGGCTTTCTTCCTATGTGGAGAAAGACTCAAATATGATTAGTACATTTGTCTCACTTATTTAAGTAAAGAGGATCAATTTAAGGTTGAGAGAGATAGAGGAAAAATAAGGATTCAAAAGAGAGAAAAGATGAGAGAAACTCATTCCCATTTTTCTGCAACTAGTCTCACTAAATCGATGATCTCCGATTTGTTAACTGTTGGATCAAGCTCAAATTTGAAGGGTAGGTTCGTAATACATATATCTAACTTTTGATCATCCGAAATTTTAAAACAACGTCTAAGGTAAAAGTTATTTGCTTCGCACTGAAGCTGCATATTTGGAGAAAAAATTCAACTTTTTTATTCTTATTTGTAAGTTAGTTTGCTTTGTGATTTGTGGTTGTTAGTACTAGTTTGTAAATCACTTTAAGACTTTATTATATTCTCATATTTAGGGGTTTTTCACATTAAAAATATTGGTGTTCTTTTCACCTTTATTTGTTTGATTTGTCATCTTATATTTGTTGTTGATCCTCAAGGTTCCTACAATTTTGAGGAGTTTTATATCTGTTGCATATTAGTTTATTTTTGTGTCTTAATTTCTCATCAAAGTGGCATCAGAGTTTTTGGTTAAGGATTATTTTACTTGTTTGAATGATTGAGGCAAATACAAAGATGAAGATGGTATTGTTGAATGGTTCTAATTATCACTTATGGAATGGCAAGATGAAAGACTTACTATTTATAAAGAAATTGCATTTACCGGTTGTTAGTTTCACAAAGTCGGATTTTGTGTCACAAAGTCGGATTTTGTGTCGGATGAAGAATGAGAGTTTGAACATCAACAAGTATGTGGTTTTATTCGACAATACTTAGAAGATAGAGTCCTTATATGCCTCTAAATCATAGAATAATAAATTGTTCTTATTGAATAGCTTCATAAGTTTGAAGTATAGGGAGAAGACTTCTATTTCAGATCACTTAAATGAATTTCAAGGTCTCATTAATCAGATGTCCATAATGAGTATCAAATTTGATGATAAACTTTTGAGACTATTTCTATTGTTATATTTACCAGAGTCTTGGGAGACGTTTCAGGTTTCTATCACAAGTTCTGTTCCTAGAGGTGTTGTTTCTTTTGAAATGACTAAGGGTGGTATTCTTAATAAGGAGATGAGAAGGAAGACACAGAGTTCTCCATCTCAACCGGAGGTACTTGTCACTGAAATTAAGGGAGAAGTCATAAAAAAGGAATCTAAAGGTGGTAGAGAGAATAGCAGAAGCAAATCCAAGTCGCAATACAAGAATATAAAGTCATTATTGTCACAAAACAGGACACATACAGAAGTATTGTTATCAGTGGAAAATAGATAACAAAGGCAAGAAGGGTAAGTCTAAACAAAGAGATTATGAAGATCATGATGATGATCGTGTTACTACTACTACTGCTAGTGATGATTTTGTTATTCTCTGTGCATATGCTAGATGATTGTGGTTATGATAATCACTTTGGATGTGGAAAGTGGAAACTCAATAAAGGTAACTTGGTTGTGGTTAGAGGGGAAAAGTTTTTTAAATATACTGGACAAAAGCTTTGGTTGCTTTGGACAATGTGAATGTTATCGACATAGAAGCATCTTTGTGGCACCAAAGACTGCAGTGCATGTTCTTAATCTCACTCTTACTCTTGCTTTGAACAGTGAAGTTCTGGACAAAATTTGGGTTGAAAAGAATGTAAAGTATGATCATTTAAGAGTCTTTAGTTATAAGGCTTTTGTGAATATTCCAAAGGATGAAAGATCCAAGTTGGATGCAAAGTCAAAACAATGAATCTTCATCGGCTATGTGTAAGATGAGTTTAGCTACAGGTTGTATGACCACTTAAGGATGAATCTTATTTGAAGTCGTGATGCGGTGTTTATGGAAGACCAAAATATTGAAGATATTGATAAGGTAAAAAAGGCTACACCCAAGAAAGATATCAGTTTGTCTAATATTGATCCAATTCAGTTATCTAGTTATAATCTAGATGCTATCAGTGGTGATGATCACAATGGAGAGCCATATGATTCTGTTGATGATCAACAACTTAGAGATGAGGTAAATATTCCAACTAATGATGGTAAATGGGAGAGCAATTTGTCACAGGATAAGAATGTTGGTGAAATTCCATAATCATCTCAAGTTCAACCTAGGAGGTCTAATAGACAGAGACAACCTTCTGCAAGGTATAATTCTGATGAGTATGTAACCTTAACTGATGAGGGTGAACCTTAGTGTTTTGAAGAGACCATGGAAAGTGATAAAAATCAAAAGTGGATGGATACAGCGCACGATGAGATGAAATCATTGCATGATAACCGTACTTATAATTTAGTGAAGCTGACTAAAGGCAAAAGGACTTTGGAAAACATATGGGTTTATAGAGTTAAACATGAGAAGAACTCTAAGTTTTCAAGATATAAATCCAAATTAGTGGTGAAAGGTTTCCTTCAAAGAAAGGGTGTTGATTTTAATGATATTTTCTCACCTGTTGAAAAGATGTCATCAATTAGAACAGTGTTGAGTGTTGAGTTGAGGTTGAGCAAATAGATGTGAAAACAACTTTCCTTCATAGTGATTTGGAGGAAGAGATCCACATGAAATAACCCAATGGTTGTCAAGTTAAAGGTAAAGAAGATCATGTGTGTATATTAAGAATAAGTTTATATGGGTTGAAGCAAGCTCCAAGGCAGT